CATAGCAAAATAATTTTTTTTTTTTTCTGTGTATGTATGTGTCAAAATGGTGTGACGGTGAAATGATGTAACCTTGGTTTATAAGAAACTCCTTAACACATTATTGTATATTAAACCAAAGATTTTATTAATTATTTTGTGATAGAGTTAAAGGGATGATTGAAGTCATCAAATGGAGATTAGTTTAGAATAAAAGATTGGAATCCCTGAGCTCTAACCATAAGGGAGGAGGGACCCTGCAAGATTCTGCAGGGTATGCACAAAGGAGAGAGTGGCAATCATTGAATCATGGTAGTATTCAAATGGCACCTCAAATATAATGCATATATGCTTTTGATAATACCAAATGGGTTTATTTTTTTCTTATATTTGAATTGGGAAATGAGTGAGTGGAAAGTATATAATGACCAAAGGCTCCAAGATTTTGCATATTATATAGAGAAAATTGTAGCAGTAGTTTTTAAATTTTGCCCAATTGGAATTTTGGTCTTTGAATTAAAAATTCGTTAGTATTAGTCTCTAAACTTATTATAATGCGGAGTAATGGTCTTTTTGGCCAACTCCGTTAAAACTTCCATTCATTTTATAAAGGGACAAAAAATGGATGGAAGTTCTAACCGAGTTAACCAAAAAGACAATTGTTCCACATTATAACAAGTCCAAAATACCAATGCTCACGGATTTTTAGTTCAATGACCAAATCTCCAATTGAGCCAGAATTCAAAGACCACTGCTCCAATTAGCTCTTATCTAAACAAGGTTAAACAATGATCTTACGGAATTTGGTCCTTTCTTAATCACTTTAATTTGATTAGTCAAAAAAAGTTGGCGAACTAACAAAACACCCAAATCCAATGTGTTGATCGGAGGTGGGTGGGTTGTATTCAAATATCGAATCAAATATTAGGAGGCAAATCAGAAGGAAAAACAACTTTATTGGGGCTGCTGAGAAGGTCTGATCCATGGAAGTTTCACAGATTATGAGGCTTCATTGGAGTGCAACAGATGAGCTTGTAAAACGGGACCATAACCCCAATACTTAATACATAATTTTTTATTTATTTCTTGTCTCTAGCTAGTAATTATATTTAATGAAAGTGCTCTAATAAGCAGCATTTGAACTTGACGGAAATGCTAGCCAGCCACTGATTTTAAACCTTTTACTACACTCCAAAAATGATTTTCGTTCATTTTAAAATTGCAAGTCAAGAGATCACACCTAGCTAGTCGGTGCATCATGCATGGCTTCAATTCAAACTTCATTTCTTATTAATTTTTCAACTGGATATTCGGAAAATGAGAGGTTAAATACAGAATCTCGAGAGTAGTGGCGAATGTTCTTAATAATCCAAGTTATATATAATTTATCAAACTCCTGCAACTCGAAAAGCTAAATTTAGTTCTTTCTTTTTTTTCTTCCGGTTGTTGAAAGAAGACTAAGATTTAAGTTAATTAATTGTACCCTTTTCTTTTTCTGGTTTTAGAGTTGGGGCCAACGAACAACCAAGAAGATGTGAAAGGCTGTACAAATGTTTCCACCTTTAGAGATAGCAGGGCGTGATAAATACCTAGCAAGATGTATGAGGTGCCCCAGCATGCATCTGTTAGGATAGGATAAGAACACCTTTTTCATGATTTTTGAAATTTACAGATAATGTCTGAAGTAAACAGAATCATATATATAAATGATACACCGACACCTATTAATATATGGATTGGGGGCCGATGAACTGGATCTGTAGGGATAGGACCTCATGATCACCATATTAATTCTAACCTAATGCTTTCTGTACTGAATCAAGGATTAAAAACAACAAAACCGCTTTACTATAAGAGCTTACATGTATACTAGCTAGGGTTCTCTCCTTTCAATGTGATGCATTTGGGTTTGCATGCCAATTCGAACGTCGCACTTTCGAACTAGACATCTTCCTCGGGCAATTCGATCGATAACGACTCGGTATGTAGCCGATGATAGGTTTTTTCATTGACCTTCATTTACTAGAAATCTTCCTTGGCCTAAACCCTAAACCACTATATATGATTGCATATACAGTATCAGTGCATATATAGCCTATGATATCAGTCCCACTTATGCGATGAAAACTTTGATACTACCGTCACCACTGGCGAGTACAACAGTACAACTTATCCTTATTACAAAACCGGCTTTTAACGAAAACATGCCCAAGTACTTATATACATAATATTTTGCTCGATCGCATACTCGATTTAAGAAAAAAATACATGCTACTCTGTGAACTAAACATTCATGATTCGGGTATTTTTCTCGACGTTATGTGGAAACTATATATAGAACTTAATTAATTGTGGAAGAATATTGATATGATGTCATAAGGTCCCCGCAGGAGGGCAGGGGCACTATAGAAATAGAGAAGTGCTTCAAAAAGCTAAAAATTATGCACTCCCATTGCCCTTTATTATCCACCTTTTGGCTAATAATATAAAGGAGCTATTACCTCTTGTACTCAACTTTTCTCAAACTATTGCACATAACAACTAAAGTGTCCTAAAAGAAATAATATATTCTCTTTGATCAATTATGCAAATTAAATTTTATTATATTCATTAGTATAGGTCCGATTTTGCCAAATGTAAAGACATATATATGGTGTATGTGATATATATATATATATATATATATATGGAGGAGAAATGAAATGGTGCACATAGATATGTGATTGTTTGACATAAGTGGATTTTTTTGACACTAAAAATCGTTTCATGAGATGTAAGAAACAATCGAGTGATGCGGATGCATTATATATTCGTGAACTTACAAGTTGAAGAGTAGAGAATCTATTTTACACAGAGTTCTCCAACTGAGTGAGATATTCATACATGCATAACCTGTCTATAGCTGTTTTCATAAACCTAAACCTAAACAAAACCTTAAGTACCTTTAGTGACTTAAAAAAGTTATGTTTTAAAAAGTGTCTTAGGTTATTAGGTTATTATTAAAGGATAATTGATTTTAGTGGCTCAAGAGTCAAAACAAAACAAAATAAAATCAAAACCTAATTGATTAGCAAGTTAAAAAATGGAATAAATAATATAAAAAAAAAGAAAATAGAAAAAAAGAGGTTTGAACAAGAATGATTGACCGGAGGCGACTTTTATATCCCAAGAAAATGCACGCTTCGAGGTGGCAGGATTTGACCGATCTGCAGAAACTTGGAACCCTCACGTGCGATTCCCCTTTGACAAATTACAGAAATTGGCACACTCTCTCGTACATTCATTTCCTTCACTTAATTCCTTCACACTAGTGCCTTCTCTTCTCTTATTATCTATTTCTTTTTTCTTAATAAATTAAATTTCGATTCGATCCCAAATGGTTTACCAACTATCCCACGAGGATGTAACCTGTTTTTATTCGAGGCTGATTATTTTGAATTTACTTGCTTATTATTTTTCATTAATAAATAGCCAATGCCCATGCCTTTGCTTTGTTCATACTCTCATTAGGATATAAAACAATGCTGTGATTCAATGATTCCACCACCTCAAATTGTTTTACAAGCTCTTTATTGTAGAATTATTAAATATATCTTAATTCAGAAGGGAAAGACAAGATTTTGCAGTGAAGAATTAATATTACATACATCTTATTTTGGATTATTACTTTTTAATTTGATTAATGCTTTGTCGAGATTTTATAGTTGGGTCAGCACTCTGTTTCGAATAACACATATGTTGTTCTAACTTAATTAGTCATCTGCATATATCGTCAGGCATCAAGTGTTTGATTTTATCATGTAAGATCTCAGTGCAATTCAAAGTGAAACCATTCAAATAAATTGTATATAACATTTTCAATATGTTTTAGGTGGTATCAGAAATTGAGAAAATAATTTCTCTTCTCAATTCATTTCTGATTAATGATATCCTTCTTGCAAGATTATTTTTCTAAACCAACGTAGGAATGATAAAAATAAATTGTTTCTATAACTTCTTTTTGTTTTTATCTTTATTCAAGAGATCGACCATCAAATTGTCATAGTGAGATAGTGGATAAGTGTCCTTAATATTGAAGCCACAGATCCCTTTAAGTTATAGTTTTCAATTTCATTAGATGATGGATTTAGATTTCCATAGTTCTTGTTTTTAATATCTTAATGTCAATTATACAAGAAAAGTGGAGAAATTTTTTATTATGCCCCAAAAAAGGTATCATGTGTCATTATATAATGAAGGGGAGTTTTAAGTAGATTTTTAAGATAAGTATCTCATCACTTATATAGTGACAAGTGGTGTATTACCCCGTATTCCGGAGACACTAACAAATATCTCAACAAAGTAAGTATGATCTTTTTTTTTCGGTGTCCTTTAACATTTTATTATAGGAAATCTCAAACAAGGTTTAAAAAATTAGTATGTTAAAAGACTTCTAGAAAAAGATAAACAAGAAATAGAAGTAGATTATTCGGTGCATTGTTGCTACTTCTTTAATTTAATGGTTCCCGGCAGGTGCAGCTTGTTATTTTTTCATTTCAAAAAAAAAGTTTTTAATGGTTTAGATGCTATAAAAAAGATGTAGTAAATGGTTTCACACATTATTGCTTGATTCTTTTCCATTAGTACAATCAATCATAACCCTCATCTCCCAAAGAAATATATAAATCCAATTCAACCGCCCCTCAATCTTTAAAGAAATAATTTGTCTTCATTTGATTGGATGAGATGTCATGTTCGCCTCACGACGAAAGATAAGTTCGATACTTATTACGATGTGATTTTATTATGAGTTCGTTTGCATGTTGTAAAAATATCTCTGCATAAATATGAGAGTTTAAACACTAATTAGTTAATAACTTATTATGACGTTATCTACGCGTTTTAGCCTTTGCAATATTTGAGTAATAGTTAATTAAGTAGAACGGTTATGGATTAGCTCGGACCACGAATTTAAAATACACCGAATTAACGTAATCATGCAAAATAAAAAATTTAATCTGATCTATCAATCACTGACAAATATGTAATCCTCCCTCTGCCCTCCCTTTCTCTCGAACTCGCTTGATTCCCTCCACCGTAACCAAACCTTCCTCTCTCTCTCTCTCTCTCTCTCTCTCTCTCTCTCAGTCTGCGTATGTATTTAATGCAAAGCGGCTCCTACTTCTTCAGACACAGTAAGTAACCTAACCAAAAACGTACGTGGTTTGCCTCTCTCTCTCTCATTTGTTTGGTTGTGTTATAGTCAACGTGGTCAAAATACACTAGTATCAGTGATAACAGCACAAAAAAATGCTCGACACCGTCAAGTACCTAATCGGCTCCCCCGGCGCCAGCGGCTACGGCTCAAAGAGTACAGCCGAGCAAGTCACCGACGCCTCCCCCGATCTCCGCCACATCACCGCCATCATTACAGGTACGTACTCCCACGTCGGATTACGAATTGTCCAACACAGTTTTCACAATCTCTGACGATCTTGCGGTTTTCGGATTATATCAGGTGCTACGTCAGGGATCGGAGCCGAGACAGCTCGAGTTTTAGCCAAGCGCGGGGCCAAGCTGGTCCTCCCGGCTCGAAGCCTCAAAGCCGCCGAGGACGCCAAGGCTCGAATCCTCTCCGAGTTTCCCGGCTCCGACATCATCGTCATGGCTCTCGATCTCAGCTCCCTCGCTTCCGTCAGGAGCTTCGCCTCCGAGTTCGAGTCCCTCCGACTGCCTCTCAATCTCCTCGTGTAAATGTTCTCTTTCTTTCTTGTTTTCTGTTTTTTTTGTTTGTCAATTTCTTGTTTTCTGTTTGGTTGCCGAGAAAATGCAGGAAAAGAAAAAGAAGACTGACTAAAAAGTGTTCTTTTGGTTTTGTCTCAGAAATAATGCCGGAAAGTTCGCGCACGAGCACGCGATTTCCGAAGACGGAATCGAAATGACCTTTGCTACTAATTATCTCGGTAATTATTACTATTACTCCCACTAAATCTAAAATTAATGTTAAATTTGTGGATTTTTTATTCAATAATTATTAATACTTTTTCAGGTCATTTTCTCTTGACGAAGCTGTTGCTCAACACAATGATTGAAACGGCTGCGGCTAGCGGCGTTCAAGGGCGAATCGTGAATGTGTCGTCGGCCATTCACGGCTGGTTTTCCGGCGATATGATCCGATATCTTGGCGAGATAAGCAGAAGTGGAAGGTAATTTATATTATAACATGTGAATTTATTTATTTATTAGTACTATGACTTTACTAGGTTCATAATCATGAATTATGTGGAACTGAATCTTCTAGCTCATGATGGAGATCTAGCAGCCCATTCGGGCCATTCAAACTTGATTTAACGATTGCAATTATTATAACTTTTAAAAAGATCTTCTATTTAGAGCCGTTGAATCAAATTTCAACGATCCGATGGGCTGTTCAAAAGGATCTCCATCCTGAACTCAGGAGAGGATCCAGTTCCACAAAATGTAACCAATGTTATATAACACGTTGATTAGTAACACCAGTCGAGTTGATACGAGAGATCAGGAACTGTAGCCGATCGATCGAGTTGGATTTCATTGTTATTGTTTAAGTTGTTTAAGTGATTATAATTAATTTGTCTTCAATAGTTTGAATTTTTTATATCTGAATTGGAAAATTTGTCTGGAAGCACAGCCAGTACGACGAGACGCGTGCGTACGCGCTCTCGAAGCTCGCCAACGTCTTGCACACCAAGGAACTCGCTCGCAGACTCAAGGTTTGATGATTAAAAGGCGATTTTCTTTTTTTTCTTTGTGTTTTTATTCAAATTATTGTCCCTAATTTGTTTTGTTTATTTGTAATTAACTTATTGTTTTTACTAATCAGGAAACGGAGGCCAACGTGACCGTCAACTGCGTGCATCCGGGTATTGTTAAGACCCGCCTCACCCGAGAACGTGAAGGTCTTGCCACAGGTTCGGTTTTCTTCACAAGAAACTATGAATTGATTAGTTGAAATATTTGTGTAAAAACTTTTGTGCTCAATTAAAAGAGTTTTGAATATGTAGATTTGGTGTTCCTGCTTGCTTCAAAGCTCTTGAAAACAATCCCTCAGGTTAGTTTATGAGTATAACCGGATGATTATTTTGGAGTATCGATAACAGTTTCGTTAATTACATTCTGCATGTGATAACATTGGTTTCGTTATTTGTACTATTAAAGGCTAGTGCGACGACATGTTATGTTGCGACTCATCCTAGGCTGGTGGGCGTGTCTGGGAAGTACTTTGCTGATTGCAACGAGACATCGCCGTCGAAGATGGGGTCGAACTTAAGCGAAGCTGCTGGATTATGGTCCGCCTCTGAAATCATGGTGTCCAAGGATTCCAGTGCTATTTTGGATCCAAGCCACCAGCTGGAGCACTAAAAGAATGGAAAACGGATCATCAGTTATATATATAGAGAAACAGAAAAGCATCTTAATTATATAACTAGCTAGTTCTTACTTCTTAGTGTCTGTTAAATTAGCTAGCTAAAATACAGTAGTAAAGTGGAGGGGAGAGTTAATTAGGAAAGAAGGAGGAGAAATATTTATAATACACAGCTAGGTTTGAACATAAATAGTAGTGACATGAATATATAAATATGGTCTTTTTGTCCAAAATGGTTTCTAAGATTGACATAACTTCTCACTTGGGTACATGAGATTTAAAATCAATAGAAGTGGTCTTTCAAATTGTCCACCATCAATCAATTTGGTCCTTCTATGAGAAATATCCGTTAATTTAAGGGTATTTTTGTCAAATCAATCCCTCCTCCTGAATTGGTGGTTTATTCAATTCAATGGAGATTTTTTACAGAATGACTAATATGATTGACGGTGGACAATTTCAGAGGCTAATTCAATCCATTTTAAATCTCAGAGATCAAAGTGAGGAGTTATGACAATCTCAATAACTATTTTGGCTAAAAAGTCTATTAATATTTAGATAAAGAAAGGCTTTTGATGTATGAGAGTTGGAATCAAGTTATGACCAATGAAATTAAAGTTGTTTATTTTGTTGGTTTCTATATAATTTTTGAGGTGTACGTTATTAGATGATGCTGGTCTTACTCTCTTAGAATATTGGATTGGTCATTGGTGCATTTTTTTTTAAATACAAGCCATGTTAGAGTAGAGAAATTTGAAATTAAGATCTTGAGTAATGTTCTTAACTACTTAAATCACAAGTATTTTGCATTCATTACTGTATACATAAACAATGATTTGATCGAATTATTTAGAGTTAACTGTGGACTTTGGTTGGAGATCAAGAAAGTTCTTGGAACCCTAGTTTTGTATTAACTAATACATGCATGTACTTGAATAAGATATATATTGGTTCTTCTTCACGGAAAATATATCTGTTTTTATTTTTCCAGGGCATGCATGTGGAGGAAATATATTATGTTTGTATATATGGACTAGAAGAAGAAAATGATATATGGAGGAGATTAAGATTTAAGGACATGCAAGGGGTCAGTTAGTTGCATGTGGTGGTGGTTTAGTTGCATGTGGTGGTGGTGGTGGTTGTATTTTGAAGAGTATCTTTGGGACTACTGTGATGGGGTGTACTACCAAAATGCGTGCTGAGTCTGGTGACTGTAACTGATGCATGCGTTCAAGGAAAGGAAGTTCCAAGTCCTCAAAAGCCTTTCCAAAAGTAAAATTTGCAATCTCCAAACGTTACATGCGGACGGATCCAGAAATTTTTTCATAGGTAGACAAGGTATAAAAGTATGTTGGTAAGTTGGGATTTAGCCATGGCACCGACGGAATTAAAGAAGGAATTTGAGATAGAAAAATAGTGAAATAGGTGAATTTTAGTCAAATGAGCCTTCTTTCTTGCGTTCGTGCATGCCTGTACTGCCCATTGTGGCCTTAACCATCTGTTGGGCAGGCAAAGTTCGGTTCAGTAAGGGAGACTTTCGAGGTTCCATCGTTGCCATAATATATACGAATCCGATCTTGCATCTGTGGGATTTTTAGTTCACTAATATTATATATAATATACGTATGTTTCTTGTTAGTACATGTCCTATGTCCATGAAATATAACATATATACTTATTCATCTTATTTTCTTATATTATAATATGTAAATTAACAAAAAAGAGTCGTGGATTATTTTGTGCAATGGTCACAGTAAAACATTTCTCAAAATAAATATAAAGGAAAAGACGAGAGGGAGACCTTTTATTGCAAAGAAAGACAGGAGGGGTCTCTCTGTGAAATGGTTAGGTCGAAAAACATAAAGCCGCGGTTTACAGAAACCCTAGCTAGCTATTAAGTTTCTCGATCAGAAGGACTTATTAATGCTTCCTGTTATCTCTATTTACACACGAATTCCCAAAGGCCAAGGCTAAATGGAGCATGCAGACCAAACACAGAGCAGTTAATTGTCTGAGTCTTCCCTCTCTACAATTAATATGGTTTGCTTCTCCCTACAGTTAGTATCATCTCTGTCTCTGCCTAACATTTTTCATGTATCTCAGTTGATTACCCAGTCGGGTACAAAATGGATCAACAATATTATGATATCGAAATCGCTAATTATGAGAGTTCAATCTATGACATCTATAAGTGATCGAAGAGAAATATCACTAAACCGTATTATCGGAATGCTAAACAAAGTGAGGCCACAATAGTCTTGAAGAGAAAACCAGAGGGATGAAAAGGTTCCCGTTTATGAATTTTCTGTTATTTCGTTCCTTATGAATAGTATATAGAGAATAGCTGGAGGCACATCTTCCTGCACATTGTCAAAGTTCTACCATATATCAAGAACTCCAGGTCTAAAAAAGATCGCAAACTTTTCAACATCTGTGAAAATACTCTTGGAGCTAGAATTTAAGAAAAAATTAAAAGAATTACATAGTGATCTCTACAAATTAGTTGTAACATATGTCCCCGACTAATATGAAAAAAAGAAAGTGAAAAAAGTCTTGTCCTGCGCTTGTATAATAGCACCATATATAGAGCTCCCAAACACTTGTGCTAGGGCAGCCCTTTGCACACCATTCCCTTCAATTCGCTCGCGCACATCCGTCATCGTACTACCTCCCGAAAACTCTACTCCGACATCCTTAGCTACCTAACTGCATTCTTTTTATCAATCCATCAAGCTTGTTACTCGTCTTCCTAGCTAAAAGCAAGTCTTATACCAGCTATTCTTTCTTGGGATTTCAGTCTATCCAACAATCTTCTAAGAGACAAATCCAAATCAACAATTTGGTAAGGCTAACTAGGAATCGTGCCCCAGTTCCACGTACCAGCTTTCGGTAGCTTCCTAACAAGCTCTCTAACCTCCTCCATTTGTCTTTGCAAACTTTGTAATTCATCGTCTTCGAGATCCAATTCCACATTATCATCTTCTTTCTTTTGGGTAGTCGTCGTCGTAAACATTGTGTCAACTTGAGATCTTCAAGGAAGGTTTTATAGTGCATAGTAGCCATGTCCGTGGATTTCGTAACGACACAGTACTCTTCTCTAGAAAGTGCTTCTATAGCAGCCGCTCCAACTAAATCCAATGCTATTAATTAATTGAGAAAACTCTCTCTCTCTAATGTTTTAATTAATGTTATCCAAAAAAAAAAGTTTTAATTCATATCAAGCAAAGCCTAAGGTATAAGCACAAGTTGTTACTCAAATCAACCAGGTAATAATACCGAAGAATGCTTGTTTATCTCATATACCTGAACAATTAAGTAAACACCGGCTTAATGTATTGTATTAATCACACTTGATCAATACATGGCCCTTGTTTAAGCTCTATAAAAGCCCAAACCACGTGTAAATGCACAACAATCCCAGCGCTGCCTCACAACCCCCGTCCGCCTCCGCCGCGCCATCAAAAAATACCTCCGAGGTCCCCTCTCTGTCTCTCTAAAACTATGTATGTCTATTATCTGTGTAAGTTATGCAAATTTAATTTATGGGTTTCGGGATTTTAGAGCAGGATGAGCCCCACATGAAGAAGAAGGTGCTGAGGCTCTCGGAATCCTTCAGCCAAATCAAGGATGTGAACTCGCAGCTTGTTACGGCGACTTCACAGCAGCTCGTTGAGGACCCTTTGCGGTCTGTCGACCAATCGCAGAGGTGGAAGATCAGGAGCAACTACGGAGATATCGGCCTCACGTACAGAGACGACGAGACTATTGCTTATGTTGCTTCCAGGATACCTGCTGTCTTCTCTGCCTGTCACAGAGTTCTCAAGAAGGTATGAATTAGAGAATTTTTTTTTATCCGGGTAGTGTTGTATGATTTTGAATTATGCGTATTGGTGCTGTATTTGGTTGGTAGCTGAGAAATGGTGGAAAGTAGAGGAATTTGTTTTCAATTTTGCTAGAAATGAGGTGCTTACCTTCAGTTTGATACGTTATTGTGCTTAAGAGTGTGGATGGTGGAATTGGATGTAGAGTTGCTGTTTTACAGGTTCGTAGAAGGATACCTGATTTCTCTCCAGCTAAAGTATTGAATTTTGGAGCTGGCACGGGCTCAGCTTTCTGGTGAGAAGCTCATTTGGCGTTATCTTTCGATTGTTAACTGTGTGTAACTATGAATTTGGTTATGATGTAAATTGAATGATATAAGGCACTACGAGAAGTCTGGCCACATTCCTTGGAGAAAGTTAATTTAGTGGAGCCATCCCAATCAATGCAGCGGGCTGGGCAGAAGCTTACACAAGGTTCTTGACGATTTGAATGTTCAAACTAGTCTTGATATTATTTTGCCAAAATTATTTTTGTAATAGTATTTCCAGATAAATTGTCTATAACCTGCAGTCGTTAAAGAACCAATCTACTAAAACCTTTAATTTCCTATTGCAATGTTTCATGCATTATCAAAGAGTGTCACGGAACTCAATAAAAAATCTGACCACTTTATGGCATGGTTATTTTAGGTCAGAAGAACTTGCCACTTATTCATAGTTATGATAGCCTCCAGTCATTGACAAAAAGTATCACCAAGTCAGAGCGAGAACATGACCTTGTAATTGCTGTAAGTTCCATAAATTTTAAACACCATGTTTGCCTTGGAATATTGGGTACGAATAATAACTTATCTTTGTACTTTGTTGCAATGGGGTGAAGTCCTATGTGCTTGGAGAGATACCATTGCTCAAGGATCGAATTAATATAGTACGCCAACTATGGGATCTTACATGGGATGTCCTGGTATGTTTTACTTTTGCGTATGGATGAGTTTCGTGTTTCACTATGATTTCATGACAGAACAATTTTGCTTGATCTTATGCCCTGGTTTATGCCATTAACAAAGAGGACAAGTATCATGTGGTTTATGCTCTTCTCACAAACAATTTTGAAAACAGCGGCAAAAGAAAGACATACTGAATCTTGTTCACCATCCATGATTTAATTGTTATCATGGCAATTTTCAGTTTGGCACTTCCCAATTTTTAGCCTAATATTTTTATCTTTGATTTTCCTAAATTTTTTGTAGGTTTTGATTGAACCTGGAACACTGCAAGGATCTAATATCATTTCTCAGATGCGTTCTCATATATTATGGATGGAAAAAAGGGTAAGTTGTTTTTCTTGTATTTGTTCTTTGAGATGAATTTTGAGTTAAAATGCTTGTTCAATTTAAGTACTAGGATTGCGTCTCAACAATCATGCATAATTGACACACTCATCACTTATTAGAAATGCCGTAAATCTAAAGATGGAAGTGAAGAAACTTCAAGGGACTTAGTGACTCAAAAGAGTGGTGCATTTATAGTTGCTCCGGTGAGTATGAGAGCTCTTTAGCTCATATTTTTCTGTTTCGAAACTAATATGTTGCCCAGCTTCTCCTTTTGTTTCATTAAAACTGTGAATTCTCATTTTTTTTTGTAGTTTTTTTTTTGATGTAGTGCTCTCATGATGGACAATGTCCGCTGGAAAATGCTGGAAAGTATTGTCATTTTGTTCAGCGCATGGAGAGGACATCTGTTCAGTGTGCATTCAAGGTTCGTCCCTAAATCCATCCACAATCATTGGATCCAGTTGTGAGTTGGAACCTCCTCTTTAATTGATATTACCTTCCTTGATATTTTTGTAGCGATCCAAGGGTGGGCAACCATTACATGGCTTTGAAGATGAGAAATTTAGCTTCGTTGCATTCAGGCGAGGACAAAGACCACGGTTAGTAATTTTTGTGTTCATGTTCAAAATTGTGGAATGTGGGATCTCTAATATTCTTCTTAGACAATGGATGCCGAAAAACCCATTCTCATACAGTTATACAATGGTTTAGTTAATTTTTATTCTGGTTTAATCTTTCTCCATGTGGTTTTGTTCTGCCTAACTGAGTGTCTTTCTTATAAACACTCTTTTAACTGTCAATGACCTTAATTAAGTGATAATAATCATAAACATTTTGAATTAAGCCAATCAATAACTTCTTAAATAAAATAATTCCTGTCCAAATATGTACTTCCCTCACAGTTTGGTTCTTTTTATTCATAAATATACTTGTGTCATGAATTCTTTCTCTGATGGTTGCACTTGGTAATGTGATTAGGAACCTTGGCCGCTTGATGGTATGAAATTTGAGACTTTAAAGGAGCAATATGCTAAACGGAGTCCAGAAGATCTCGAGATAGACCTTGGTAATTCTTAAATGAGTATCCTTCAGTATAAACATCTTGATGATCCCCCACCCCCCCACATTACGAACTGTGATGTATTGCATTAATACTAACATTCTGGCCATTTGTAAACAATTATTTCTTTGGTTCTGAGAATTTGTGTTTGGCCTGGACAGATGAGTTAATTAGCTCGCAGCAAGCTGACCTCATTCCATTTGAAGAACCGAATCCAGTTAACTATGATTCCGATGTTATGGAAACTGATGTGGTGGATGAAAATGACAAAAACAACGAAGAGGAAGATGAAACAGGTCATGCTGATCTTGGTGGCGGTTGGGGTAGGATTATCTATATGCCTGTACGAAGGGGCAAACAGGTTACAATGGATGTTTGTCAATCAACCAAACGGGATGGTTCAGAAGGTGAGCTTCAGAGAGTGGTTGTCACAAAGAGTAAGAACCCTACATTACATCTGCAGGCCCGAAAGTCTATATGGGGAGACTTGTGGCCTTTCTGAAGATGTAAATGTCCGTAGTTATTCACGTTGTAACCGCAATGTATATGGAACTATGATGTTATGTTGAATGTTTATTATTTGATTCTATGAACCTTATTAGACAAAGTTTCATCAATAAGAGATGCCACTTTGGTCTATAATCCTCCAAATCCTAGCTATGAGCTATTCCATTTCTCAGAATTATTAAACGCACCAAATTGACCACATTGATGACACTCGTCTGTATTAGAGTGTCAGTTATGTGTAGCTTAACCCTAATATTACGGTAGATCCGTTGTATTAGTATTTGGTATAGTTCGAAACAAAGAACTATCGAGGGTTCGAATCCCTCTTTAGCATGACTATCGTTGTATGTAAAAAATAAAACAGAACAGCATCAACGTTATCAGATATATTCGCAGTCCTGATATTCAAATGTGAGAGAGAAAGAGAGAGAGAGAGTGCAACTGCCCCCCAAACCACCCAAAATTTAATTTTGATCAATGGAATGTGAAGAACACAGTATTTCTAAATGCAGGCTTTTATAAGATGCCCCACGGGCACCTGCCTGTATCTATACACACACTTGTATCTATATACACGTATTCTACTTCCAGGGAACTACAGCAACATGAAAGTCCAAAATTTCTTGAGCTGAAAAACCAACAAATTAAAGAATCATACAATTGACTTGTATAAGATGATCAACTACAAAAACCAAAAATCAATCCCCCAGCCACCTGGTGGGACTGCACTTGAATCGTATAAACGGTCGCCACCTGGCACAACCCGACTGGACTATAATACATTTGGAAATCTTCAGGGGTACAAACTAGGTAAATCCACCTTGGAGCTGTCTTTTGGCAAACTGTCAGTAATACTGCATTGGACAAGCACCGAGGGTTATTTAACAATTACCAGCTGCGTTTGCAAGAATGCAAAACCACTGCCTAAAAAATGCAGTCTCAGGGATTTTAACGACGAATAGGTAACCCGTAATTGTGGTAGGTTCTAATCCGTCCATCCCAGCCGGCAGTGACAATCACAAGGCCCCACATGTGAGAAGAACCAGACATGCTCTGGCAAGCTTTCTTCAAAAACTTGTACTCGGAGCTACACATCGCTGGGGAAACGGGTACTGGACTCGAGTTTACAAGCTTCTCCTCAGGCCAAGTGGGGGTACCTCTTGGCAAGGACTCGAGCAAAAACCCCCGACCCAAAGAGAAGCAATCGGGCGAAGAGAGGTGCATTTTCTGATCTAATTTCTCATCAAAGTTGAGATGCTTTGGTGGATAATCAAGGCTACTTTGTGGCACATCCCCAATGAATCTGGGGGATGGAAGTGTTCCTGGCAAGCTGTTTACACCATTCCAAGGTATAGCAATGATGGAGTTGTGGGACACAAAACTCTCACAAGACCATATTTTCCTTGATTGCGAAGAGGTCATGTCCTGGCTATTGAAGTTCCAGATGTGTACATTTGAATCATCGCTTGCTGAGACAATGTGCTTTCCATCTGTGGTAAAAGACGCGGATGTATGGTTTCCTCCATTTCGAAGACCTAATGAGGAATGATAAAACATTTAATGAAATAATCATTGCAGACTTTGGGGGGTGGGGAGTAACAATAACTTTAAACAATTAAGAAGATAAATAAAAGATGATGCATACCCCTATATTTGCAGACGATATCTCTCCCAGAAATTACACGGACTGCTGAATCAGCAGACGTCACCATAACTTTGCTTGGGTTGCTTGGAGAAAACTGAGGAATCATATTTACATTAGTATACTGTACACCACATTCCATAAAGTGAAAATTGAAGAAGAAAACTTAAAGATTTTGTCCATAAAAACCTGAAAGCCGGTTATCCTTTTTCCAGGTGACTTCTTTTTGCCCTGTATGTTTATCGGAACATCCAATTCCATATGGTCATCTGAAAATATTGAAACCACGATCACGAACTACAAAGACAGAATAACAAAGAAGAGCAAAAGTTGTAAGGGCCTGTGGATAGATCTCGCCCTTGCAAAATTGGCTTGCAAGAGCTCATACACTAACCCCACATGTTTTTATTTTTTTCAACGTGAGACATTTTCAACATATTACAAAGACGTTCGCAAAGGGCATGTAAGGATCTAACATTAGATATTTTGCAATATCAGACCAAACAAAACAAAAGAAAAGATATTTTGCAATGACATACCAAGATAATCATCTCAAGTCAGCGCGATTTTCAAGAAAAAAAGGAGATTAACTAGCATTTAATTTATTAGGAATTCCCAGTTTTCTGCTATGCTTAAGAGTTGGGTTGTAGTTAGAAGCGTTATAGTGGCCTACTATTCAGAAAAATTGACTATCAGGTCTCCATACCTATGATGTTAAATACGCAGCAATTTCCAGTCATCAAACCCACAATTCCTCCCTACAAGTATCAAGAAACAAAGTTAAACAAAATCCAAGTAGTTTTATGCTTAATTTTTCATTGCCAAAGCAAAAAATCCAACAGACCTTTCCGTCAGGACAATAAGATATAGCAGTGACTATCTCGTGAACATCAATATAATCAACAACCAGACAACGAACAATTTCCCAGATGCGAACTTTTCCGTCTATTGAACCGCTGATGAAATAATTATCATCCAGAGGGTTGAAATTAACACATGTGACTGCATCAAATATCACATCTTTAGATAGATATTGCAGAACACTCCAAAATGGGACAAAGAATTGAGATCAAACGATATATATATATATATATATATATATATATATATATATAACCAGTAACTACAGTATTAAAGATAATGCCAACAAGCGGCAAGGCTCACCAAAATTACTGTGAGAAAAAATTCTCAGGCATCTGTCGCATCCCACTTGCCATAGACGGACCGTCTTATCAACTGAGGATGAGAGCAGAAACTGCAGCGCACACAAAAGGTGCCATTAGTTCAATCAAGTTCAGTGAATCAACACTAACTCTGGTGCAATGAATAATTGCAATAGGAAATAAAATCCAATTTCCTACCACTCTAAAAATAAAGTAGCATATATTAAAAATGAGATAGCACAGCCAAAAGTATCACTAACCCCTTTCGTTGACCATGAGAGATCTAAGACCTCCCCTGTGTGTCCCCGGAACTCATGAAGAGGCTTCTCCAATAAGCGAAATACCTTTGGAGGGAAAATGACACAAGCTGACTCTGATGATCGCCCCAATTGCTGCGCCTTAGTCTGTTTTTCTTTATTCACATTTGGAGAGTTTAACTTGGAAAATGGATGCATCTTGAAGTATAGAGAAGAAGGATCAGAAGCAATATCAAATTTGTTGAATTTCCCATCCTCAATCACCTTCCACACTCGCACGATACCATCTTCACCGGCACTGGCCAAGTATTGCCCATTAGGACTGAACTTCATGGACAAAATTGAACCCTCATGTGCCGAAAAGTCTTGCCCAGCATATAGTGAAGATAGTTCCTTGGTCCGTTTTTTACTTGGATGAACTCGGACTCTTCGCATCCCTACACCTGATGCAGATTTAAGACTGATGGGGTTCAACGGAGCCTCATGTTTATCAGCAATGCAAATCCCAAATCCTAATTTCCTAAACCATCCCCTTTTAACTTTCTTCTTCGAATCAAGAAAGAACCTAGCGTTATCAACTTCTCTCTGTAATAATTGCTCAATCGAAGGAGATGGTGCCAGTGCACTATGAACTTCCTCATTAACCAATTGATTTAGCGCAGCTTGACCTAATCTGCCAAGCCTTCCATCATGACCTAATTCATTCACAATGACATTCATTCCTCTGTTCAAATTCCTCATTGCAGATGTGGAATGAGTATCATCCAAAGCACCATTTCCCAGTGGCTCCCGAGCTTCAGTTGACAGAGAAGACACTGTAGACTGACTGGAGCAAGACGCCACTTCCAATCCCGAAGTTCTCAAGACTACCCCGCTATCTTCCCTATATCTATCAATAATTTTAATTCTGTCAACAAAGATATCTTCTGAGTCTTCTGTCATCGTCGAATGCGAATCCAAATCTACACCCATCCACTCCAGGAACTTATGGCGGCGCTCATGAACACTTTCCAGGTTCTTAGCCCAAACCTCCTCATACCTTAAGAAACCTGAAGCACCAGAACTAAAGTCCTCACAGCAATCTGAACCCCAATCCGAAACCGAAGAGAGGTCCTCTCGGGTATCATAAAAATGATCCTCACGCTCTTCACTAGGACTCCCCAAGGTCCCCATCAATTCACTGTTTTATTTTCCTTTCAGTTTTCAACTCATGAAATCCTGAGTCAAAATCTAACCAACCAAAAAATAACAGAAAAATTCAGACACTCAAATTATGATCAAATCTCTGAATTTGATACCAGAAGAACCCAAAAATTCAATCTTTTCCCTTATCCAGAACCTGAAATCTCAATTTTTTTCCCAACAACAACATCCACAAACTGCAAAAACAAAACACAACCCAACACAGATCCTTGAATGATCTTATCCCAAGTCCAAACATATGACTTTCTCTAAACAGAAGACAAACCCAATTGCCCAGATCAAAAACACACCCAACAGATTGTTTCCAAAAACCAAAACAAAATCTGAAACAGGTACAATTGAAAAGGCAGAGTTTTGCTCACCTGGGTCACTACCAAACTTCGGTCAAACCCCAGAAATCTTAATTTCTCATGGGGATCTCCACTTTCCCAACCCCTTCCAACTTCCTTTCTCTCTCAAGCAGCAACAACAGTTCCCACTTGGAGAAGCAAAGAATAACTACAGCATGAAACTTTAAACAAATCAAACAAACTAAAACAATAAATGTAAAATAAAACAAACAAGAACAGAGAAAAAGGGCAAAAATCTGCCTCGGATTGTGCGCCAGTACCAGGAAGAGAAGGGAGTGGAAGGTGTTCGCGCTCTCCTTGTTGTTTGCGCTGCGTGTCTTTTTTCTCTCTGTATCTTTCCTCGACAAACCACACTGCTGTCTGATACAACTTGATTGGTACGGATCTCTCGCGCTCTCTCTCTCTAACCTACCTTTGTAGTTGTAAATTATAAACTGTGGACTGTTCTGATTCCCCTTTTTCTTTTTCTTTGTAATTTTCACTTAATTGTGTTTTAATTTTAATTTTTTTTTTTATATTTTTCATAATTTTTTACGATCTCCAAGAGAATAATTTGCATTTTGTGTGAATATTGCGGGCTTTTATTTTTATTTTTATTTTTAATTTGGAATTTTAATTGGAAAACGGTGGGAGGAAATTGAAGACCTTTCTTTATTTTGTTTCTTGTTTGTTGAGTGATTTTTGGTTAGGCGGATTTTTTTGACTAAATGTTGGAATCATGCAATTTAATTTTCTTAAGTCGCCCAACATTTAGTAGAGTCTAGGGATGTGGAGAAGACTAATAGATGGTTCAATATATGGGGTAAGAAATTCTATTTACAAGAAAGAAATCTATTATGTTTTTTCACCAATACAAGAAAGAAATCTATTGAATATATTGAACTTGCATGTAGTTTGGAATATTTGGAAAAAGAAGAAAAGGCTGACGCTATTGACACTTCAAAAAAGTGATTATGCACTCATTCGAATCGTATTTATCCTAAAATATTTTAATACATTTAGAGCGCACAATGATATTTTAATTCATTACGATCCAAAGTTATACCTCGGTTGTGCCGAGTTGCATAAAGTTGAATGGATCGAATTACCCTCTCCTTCGGATCCTTGTGCGTTCTCAATGGAGAACAACGATGATTTGAAATGTACTTATTGTCGTCAAAATCGTCATATTGAGGATACATGTTTCTTAAAACATGGAGTACCCAACGAGTCTCCAAGCCTAAGAAGTAGTTGAAAGCTAAGGATCGTAAAAATAATGCGTGTGAACGTGGTAGTGGAGCAACTCCCAGTACAAGTAGTACCAAAGGAACGGAAGTCGCCTCTGTATAATTCCTAGCTTCATCTCTGCGAACAATATCCTTGTTTAATAATAGACATACTAACAAATCAACTATCCATTGTTTAGTGTCATGCGCATATATGTATTCCTCGTGCCCATCGTCATGTAACAAGTTTATATTATTAATAAGATAAATCTATGAGACATGCACGTACGACAGCAGGAGAAACCTTATTTTCGAAATAAAAAAGAAAAATAATTGATTTTAAAATTTTCTTACTACCAACAAAAAAGGGCGTTGACCAACCTTACCTTTGTTAGCATCCCACGTGTCACCACCCCATTTGACTCTGTGGTCTTGGTCGTCATATTTGAACTGAGACTTCTTCTTCTTGCAATGGCCAATGGGGCCCCTTTTTGAAAAGTTCAAGTTATCTTGGAGTTCAAGCAAATTAGGTTAACAGTTTCCCAGAAAAAAATAGTTTTTATTTTTGTGTTCTCAATGCTTAAAAAAAAAAAAGAAAGAAAGGAAAGTTGATATATGAGCATAACCGGCCACTTCTATCCAAAAATAATAATAAAGATAGAGACATACATTTCTCATTTCTTAATATAAGTGTTTGTTACTTAATGGTTGTAGGTAATGTTCTTTTCAAGAAAATTAGAGTATAGTGAATCTACTTATGAAGGAATTGTTACCCATCACATATATACAGCATTGTTTGAATATATTTAATCAAACTGGAATCTTCTCCTCAATGTTGTAATATTAGAAATGCAGTTTTTAATTGTAATTAGGTTTTTACATCAACGGGTTTGATACATCCTTATATATTGTACAAACGTTTACACTGGAATTTAAAGAATCATATTTCTACGTAAAGGGCAAGGAGTTTCTCATCCGTAACACCTGACCTAAGTAGCAAAGAGTTTTGACCTGGGTCGGCCCAAAGCAATTCTATTGAAGTTTGCAGTCTTGAGTCTCATATTAAATAAAGAACCCGTTTTCGAAGGAAAAATTGTGTCATATTAAAAAGAACTTTGTTAAGTAAAGCTTTACATTACATTGATACAATTGCCCGACCCATAATCTGGCTAGGGCTCTCTAAACCCACTAAACTAGCCTTGGTTGTGACAAGAAAAGTGTTTTTTTATTTTATTTTATTTTTTATTTTTTATTTTTATAAAACAAGTTGTTGGGGGTTGAACTTTGAAACAGTTAGCATGCCACTTTTTGGTCCTTCCTAGTTCCTAAGCCAGGCTACTTTGAACAAGCTCCAACAATTACCTGTAAACTTTCGTTACCATATGGATTGCCCATTACCCCATTATTTCTAAAATAATTGTTTTTAGGAACTAACACAACGCATAAAGACTTATCTCATTCAATTTCATTTTAGCTAGCTTCTCCGCACATACTTAATTGTGAAGCTAAATAGGTTCTTTTTCGACGTTTCATCCTTTATTTTTGTAAACACTCAACCTTGCATTAGTTTGTGTTGCTTGCTTTAATTTCGGCATCCATTCATATTAGCAATCGTAATTTACCTATTTGTGATCATCTTTTTGTGATCATCTTTTGTAGTGCAATGTAGAAAGACAAAAGTATATCGGAGTGTGCAGGAGAAGAAAAGAGGCGTGTCAAAATCATCACTCCTTTTTTAACCTTTCCGGTTCTTAATGCTAGTTTGATATCTCAATCCCAATTTTGCTATGATGAGTCTTCGTTCATTGTTATTTACTAATAATTTTTGTGTTGAGTCTTTTTTGACTTAGTTGATGCTGAAAAAATATATTGCATTAGGAAAAGGGGGCGAACAAAGATGACTTGGAAGAATAAGTTGGAAACAGAAGATTATATTAACTCTGCATACAATACAATAGGGGTGTGTTTGTTTGGCATCACTAGCCCTCATTGGACTAGACTAGACTAAGTTTTAGTCTAGTCTTATGTTTGTTCCCTACCCGTACTAAGTTTAGTGGGATTAGCAGGGACTTGCCTCGACTGAGTCCCTCGCTAACAGGTTTTAGCGAGACCCCCCGATTCGGAGAGGACTGCTAAGCCGCCCTCTAATCTCGTCATCTCCCTTCTCCTACGATTCGATCCTTGCCCTGCTCCCTCATTGCCCAGCTCCCTCATCGTCGTCTTCCTCATCCTCATCTCTGCGTCCCACTTGCCCTCATCTGCATCCTGCTAGCCCTCATCTGCTCCTCTTGTTTGGTAAACTTCGAATCCGACATTATTTCTTCGATTTGTTTTGCAGATCGTGATATTACTGGCCTTTATTTGATTTAGATGTTTTGGGTTTGAGAAATTTTCAATAATAGACCTCTGCACTTGAACAAATTAGGGTTTTGATTGTTAGGGTCAAATTGAGATTAGAATTTGGGGTTTTCACATTTTATGCCATTTTTAGTCCCAAAATGATGATAATCATCACGAAATTTCCGTTGTAAGGGCGGATGCAAAGTTAAATTTATAATTTAGGTCTGGTTTCAACAGATTTTGGTATCATGTTGGACTAGATTTTTTGGATTTTGGTATCGGGTTTGAGAAATGAGTTGAGTTGCATTTAGTAACTACACTCAAAAAGGCACTCACACACTGTCTTGTATAAATTTCATCTTAAACCTTACGTGTGGGATCTCAATTATTGCAACAGGTTCACAAGGCTCCAGCAACTGACATGAAGGCCCTTAAATCTCCACTCATGGGTTTGTGTGAAAAGCGTCGTGCATGCAAGTTCATCCTATATGTTCAAGATTATAATGAAACTGATCCTAAAACACATGAGGGAATGGACTTAACAAGAGTGACAACTAGAGACTTCATCTTATGCCTTACAAGTATGCATATGGTTGTTTTTATTTATAGGTCTGCAAGGGACACAATATCTTCTCTGTTCTTCTGTATCTTGCTTGAAAGGTGAAGAAAAATGCTTATTCCCCAACACTTACTGGAAATTTATTGCATTTTGACAGGTTAGGAAGGTTGGTAAGGTTGCAAAAGCTACTGCCATCATGAGCCACCCAATTCCAAACACCAATGAATCTCACTCAGTGTAGGTTATCCTGCCACAGAAGCAGTTGGGTTGCAGATCAGATATGTGAGTTCTCTTATCTTTTGTTTGGGACCAATATTTATTTTGCAATGAATGCCGTGTGCATGTTTGAGAAGTTCCTTTGTAATTGTTATTTTAGATGTAACTGTTGCTTTAAAAAAAAAAAAAAAAAACAATCCCATGACTAGGTTGTTTTATGCTATGGCAAGGAAATGAGTTTTCTTTAATAGGAAGAAAGGAATGGTATAGTTTATATGCATACAATGTCTAAACCACAATTTTTAAATTTCTGTTGTGTAATTGGATATGCAGTTGCAATGTTATATTGGGTGGAGGGTATAGTCAGTTATATTATTCTATAATTGTTGGAAGGGTTTCGTGGTAACACTTGCTTGATGCATATTAATATTATGCTACTATCATTTTGACTCCAAACTATTACCAAAAGGAGAAAACAGTGGCATTTAGAGCAGGTCTCTGGGGAACTCGTGTATACTTTGAACCAATAGCTTGTTGGTGGATATTTATTCATCCCGAGTTATCCCTGTTTCTGTTTTGTTGTATTTTCTTATTACTGGTGGCCAATTCTTTGGTGCTTTATTGACTGAACATGTATCTTTTATGTTGCTCCTACTTTCACAATGTTGCTCCAAAGGGAAAATTTATTGCATTTGTATTAACAGACGCAGAGACTGATCATCCTGAGACTGAGCTAAAGCCAAGGATTGACCTTTTAGGGCAGATATGAGCCTGATAATGAACCTACTTTGGACAATTACTTTATATCAACCGTAAGTCTTATTCAAGCCTTGACTCGTACTGGACACTCTTCAATATGATTTATGCACACCTGACAAAAGGCTTTTTATGTTTAACAGAGTTATGATGCCTCCACACACTTTGAGTGCACTGTCTTGGATGTACTTAACATGTACACCTTAATAATAGGGAAGGTAAGAAATACAATTTTATGCATTGCCCAATTAGTTTGGTTTTGTTGTTTTCGATTTCATGTCATCCTTGAAGTCGATGGATATTTCCTTGATTAATTAACATGCGTTCATTTTTTTTTTTTT